TCACAGGCTTTGAGCAAGCAGTGCTTACATGCAGCCACCTAATCTAAAACTGTTATTCAGCTGTACCAATGGAACAGACCTTTGCCCTGGTACCAAACCCTGCTACAAGACTGGATGCCACCTCTGTCTCCTTGTCCATTCAGCACTACTCCAGGACTTAGGAATGTAGTTAGGAGTTTACTCACTGCATCCTCCAGCTTGCAATATGCAGTTAGTGGGTGACCACACCCTTCTATTGTGTAACTATAGCAATACACAGACACTGGCTTGACATACAAAGGATGGAGTAGGCTCTGGTCCACAAAAGCTGATGCTAGAATAAAAACTAGTTAGTCTTTAAGATGCTGTAAGACTCCTGTTCAGTCTTACCTCATATGCATGATGAGGCATGTGTTGTTCTGGTAATTGCACCCAGCCCATGATTAACCATCCTAAGCCCATATTTATCTGTCCTGTTCTGTTCTAGTAAATAACAATACTAGGATAACTAAAGTTGATTTTTCTGATTAGTATCTGGAAAACAATTACCATTGATATAGCACTTGTGAGTATTAAAAATGCATGGTGGACACATTGATGCGTCGATTGCAGCTGTGCCATATGAGAGGTCAGTGTTATCCCCTTAATGCAGATGGAGGGGGTTGCATGACAGAGACTTGCCTGAGAGTGCCTGGCAAGTCCATGGCAGAGGTAAGATTTGAACCAGAGACTGATGGACTAGTTTCTTAGCTACATGGTTACTTTGACTTTGAGCTGTATAGATTTCAGAAAATGAAAGTTTGCCTGCATTGAAATGAGCTTCTCAGCTTTTTCATAGATGTTTGTCCTCTGACTGCACAAATTTTCAACCATTTTAAAATTTATTTCGCTCACTGTAGAAGATGGAGGAAACCTGAGACAGCAGATTAGAGGCTATCAGGGAATGCCAAGATTTGCCACCGTGTTGCGGGAGCCGTACGTACTCCCGAACCAAACACCTGACAGTGTTGTATGTTCTGCCACGTTGAAACTCTTCCCCCCCCCCAACATCACATCTGCAGAGTGTTCCTTGTTCAGCAACCCAGTCTAATTAATAGCAGTACTATATTTTAAAAATGTACAATAAAAAGGCTCAGTTTTAAAATATTTCATGAGTTGAAAAAATATTTCATAAGAACTTTCTTCAGTTTTTCCATTTTAGCATGGGGATGGGGAATAAAAGAGAGGATGCTTTTCCCCCTTAATTTTTTCCAGGCTGCTGCAGCTGTAGTCAAGAGCACAAGACAAAATATCTAACAACATGCAGCCTTTTTCTTTCTTTTTTTTGGTAAACTTGAGACTCATTTGGAGCTGCAGTGAAGAAAGATTCGGGTAGGCAGAAGCAGAAGAACAAAGTTTGAGTCCAGTGGCACCTTTAAGACCAGCAAAGTTTTATTCAGTTTATTGTTGGCCTAAAGGTGCCAAAACTTTGTTCTGGAGCTGCAAGATCACCTCGATTTATGCTGCTGTTTTTATGTCCTTTATCCTTTTACATGTTTTAATGGCTTTTAAATACCAGGTCTGTTTTTAATATTGTGGTTTTTTTCCACTCAGTATTTTGATAAACAGCAAAGTATGAGATACATTTATATGTGAAAAACATTATTCCGGACCACAGGGCAAGGATCAGAGTGAGTCTCCTTTTCAAAACCTGGGTTCATCTCCTGATACCCAAATTGAATGCTTCCTCCAATTCTTAAAAGCTGTGTTCAAAGTAGGTGTGACGACCCCTTTACTGGGGAGGTCTGGTTTCCCTTTAAAAGTGTACTTTATGTTTTTCTCTACTGGGTAATCCGGCTGCCACCAGGAAATTTAAGGCTTTCCAAACCTTTATAATATAATATTCATCACTGGGTAGGTATATCGAGGGTTTAAGCTTTCGAGGAACTATGTGGTCTGAGGAAGGATTCTTTCCAGAGCTGGTATACTTGAATGAAATAGAATTTATTTAAAGAAAGCATAAATACGAGGGTAGAACCATGTAACTAGTAAAGTAGGTATAACACACAGTCTGCTCCCTACTGACAGGGATTTTTCCTTAGGTAACTTTGTAACACTTTTTCCTTCAGGCCATATATGGTTACTGTTTCTTTATACTTCAACTTTTCATAACACACACAAGAAGGTCTCTCCTTCAGACCCTAGAACTAAACTCATCCCACACAGGGATGGGTCTCACTCCTCTCATACACAGAACTTCTGCTTCTCTCACTGGAATCAGAACTTAACTGATCTTCATCAACTGTCATATCTAACTGACCCTCTTGATAGACATTCAAATCCTCCACACAGCATCCATTCCAAAACCCCTCCCCCTCTCTGTCACTCACCAATAATATCACTTGCCTGATTCCAGCACTCTAGATTATCATCACAGCCATGCAAACCAAACTTTTAAAGCCACACACACACAGTTAAACATGAAATCATTACAGTAGGGGTATGCATTTCTTCCATCTTCAGCTTGACTACTGACTTGGGTATGGAAAGCACTGGAAACCTATTGCCTACCCATAAACCTACACCTGCTTCCAGGTGGGGAGAAGTATACTGCCCATCGCCCCATGTCCCTGGACAGTGGCTTGAGCATCCACCTATGAGGGGTGGGGTGGGGTTTTGCCCCCACTACAAGCTTGTCCCCAATGGTAATTGTTTACTTAATACGGATGCATGTAGCTGTAGGGGAGAAAGGAGAACAATGGGAGGGGAGCTAAATCTACCCTTAGTATTCCTAACAGGGACTCTATATGGTTAAGAGAAATCTAATATATAAATATAAATCTCCTCTCCTCGGTTTCATCCTGCCAGCTCCTCTATGAGGCAGGTTAGGCTGAGAGAGCGTGTGACTGGCCCAAGGTCACCCAAGTGAGTCTTCGTGACAGAGTAGGGATTTGAACCTGCATCTCCCAGGTTCTAGTCCGGCACTCTAACACTGCACCACACTTCTAAGACCTAGACTGCAGAACATCATACCCACTGTCAGCAAGTGGCTGGACTACCTAGGAATGGTGAGCAGGCTTTCTACCTAGGAATGGGTTCGCATTTGCAGCTTTATCATATAGGAATTCATAGCTGGGATTTGCTTGTTGGAGAAATTATGGGGGTGGGGGGTCATTTTGTAGAAAAAGAAGTGCAGGAGCTCATTAGCATAACTTATTTGCATATGCCACACCCCCTGACATCACTGGAAGTGTGTCAGAAGGCAACACCCACTGCTCAGGCTCCACTGGACTTTTTTGGATTGCTAGCTATTGGGGGCGGGGAGGAACGTGCAGATCTGTCCTCGCAGAGGAGGAAGAGCTCGTACCTGAATAAAACTTGGTCTTAAAGGTGCCACTGGACTGATTTGGGCCTGGGGAGGGCTCTGCAGCTTACCTGGCTGCTTCTTGCTTTGACTGAGGGTTGTTAGGAGCAGGGGGTGGGGCTTGTTGCCTGTGCCCACCCCCTGGACTCTTTACTGCCGGAGCTACGCTCCTGTGCACTCCTGCAGGAAATGACCCCTGGGGATGCTGCATTAGGACAGGGGCCAACCCTGAGCTTTACGGCCCCAGCCATTAAGAATTAAACCAGCCTTTAGCCTCATAACCCCCTTGGGGGGGGTTGTCCAGCTAAGGTGGGGCAGAATATTGGGGATTGACTGTGAAGTACTAATAGTTTCTTTAACTGTTTCTCTTCAAATGGATGAATGTAGCTGTAGGAGCTGAAGGGGGGGACACTGAGAGAGGAGCACATGTAGGATATGGAGTGAGAGGAGCAAGGACCCCCTGAATGGCGTGGATGACTTGCAGTATGCTAGAGAGGTGGCCAGGTGACATGACTACTGGACCCAAAGAAGAGCAGGCAAAGGATAAGGAAAACTACAAGAATTTGATTAATTGTATATCCATGGTTCCAAAGTAAGTTTATGACTGTAAGAAGCCAGTTCTTCCAGCCCACCGTAGTTTGTTTCAGAGTTTTGTAATGATGGGCTTAGTCTAAGGCTTCTTTTAAGGAATAGGTTTGTGAAAGGTTTTTGTATTCAAGAAATTCTTGGTCTTGAAACTTGTTGGGGGTGGGGGGGTCTAGTTCTTGTTTGTGCACTTTGCTCCCGTGGATACTGTAAATTCCCAGGGGTCACATAAGGTATAAACAGAAATGGCTGGTTTGTAGGTCAGCTGGAAGGATATAACCTTCTCCTGGAATTTCACAGTATTTCAGCCACATGCTTTCTTGTACATTAAAGGATACATGGGGGGAGTGAAGTCCCTTAACAAAACTGCAACACATGCTTTGGAACTTAGATATAGGCAGCATTTATGAGACTCATGTGGAACTTCATTTTTTATTTCCATTAAACATAAATGGAAAATGTCAGTAGAATTAATTTTGCATCAATGTTTTGCTTTTTTTAATTTTCTCAGTGACAAGCAGCTTGTCATCTCATCTTTCCAAAAGTCTAGAAGAGTTTTCGGCTGACTTGCTTGAATCAATACATTCTGGACCTTTGTACTGTACTGAAGTTCTAGCTTTTGTATGAGGCTTTCCCCCACTGCAGTCTTTCTGGGGTTTTTTTAATTTCTATTTTGATTTTTTAAATCAAAATGCAGATAAAATGAATAGGATTGTGCTATGTTTCAAGAAAAATCATTCTTTAATAAACTGTATTTATGGGTTCATATTTTTCAAATCCCCACAGATAGTCTGAAATTGAGAAAGTTTAGCATCACAAGCATTATACAGAAGTTTAGGCTTATTTTTAAAGTTTTGGAAAACTGAAGATGTGTACCTTTTTGTAAGTTTTTGGTTTTTCCTGACAGCACAAGGCTTCTGGTTTGTGGTAGCTGTTTGCCAAAAAGATTTCAAATATGTCTTTCTCTAGGCCTGCCCCTAGTTTAAAAACAAACAAACAATAACACAAGTTCTCTTCTCCACATAAACCAATATTTACCAGTAATATTGTCTTTCTGTTTTGTTTTGTTTTTTTGGCAGACTTTTACCAGTAAATATCGGTTTATTCCTGAAACCAGAAGCCCTAAACATATCTTTGTTTATAAGGTCAGTCTTCATTTCCTGTTTTTGTCCCCATCTGTGTACAAGTTCTGTTGTGATTCAGGTAACAGACGATACAAAGTATTCTTTCAAACTTCTTACTTGCAGCATTTTTCAAATTGTGAATTTTGCTGGGCCGTGTAAGCCTAAATTATGGCTGGGGTTTTTAAATTTTTGGAAATGCTATTTTTGATGCTACAAATTGTTACATCCTGATAGCAGTGCTAAAGAAGTCCAGCAAATGATATGAAAATTTATAGTTGCAACTCTGCACTAGGAAATCACTTAGTAAGGGCAACTGAGGGGAGAGGACATTGTTTTCAACATGTCTGTTAGGTAGATCTACCTAAGGAAATATGCAAGAAATACAGCTAGTGAAATCTCAAACTCACTAGCCATTGTGCTTCAAGTTCCACAGTAGTTTGAAATCTGTTTTACAGAACTAAATTAATTTGGGTATGTAGGTTTCTTCCGCCGTGTTGCACAATGTTGTGCTGTGGCTTGAACCTATGGGTCAAATGCTGACATGCATCAAAGTGTCAGTTAATTAGATTAAAACTGTAATAGTTTTTTCCCCCCAGTTATCTGCAATTATTAATGAAACCACCATTTTTCACTCATCAATTTAACGTTTCTCTTTTTTAGAGCTTCTAATGCCATCTACTAATACCATTCTAAGACCTCTTCACATATTTGCAAATTCAGGTAACCAATGTTAAGTGGGTCTGAGGGATATTTGATAACCTTCCTAAATGTTGTGTGTATGCTTAGAGTCCTATGCAGGATGTACTGGCCAGTTACAGACAGGCTTCTATGCAATGTCTGCACCACATTGTAGGTTGTGTAGGCTCCCTCATCCAGTTTGGTGTAGTGGTTAAGTGCGCGAACTCTAATCTGGGAGAACCGGGTTTGATTCCCCACTCTTCCACTTGCACCTGCTGGATGACCTTGGGCAAGCCATAGTTCTGTCAGAGCTGTTCTCTCAAGGACAGTTCTGGAAAGAGCTCTCTCAGCCCCGCCTACCTCACAGGGCGTCTGTTGTGGGGAGGGAAAGGAGTTTGTAAGCCGCCTTGGGACTCCGAGTGGAGGGTGGGGTATAAATCCAATCTCTTCTTCTTCTTCTTTGCCCAGTTTTACAAATGTGTGAATAGGTCTCTAGCATCTGCTGTTTGCATAACCTAAAATGGGTCCCTAGAGTTGTTGAATTTTCAGGAAATGTGTTATCCCAATTTGAAAACTACTTTTCCTCCCCTTTTGCAGCTTCCCTTTTGTGGTTCTGATTGTTGCGCAGTATAGCTGTCAACCACTTTAATCTGAGCAGTTGACATTGGTGCTTCTTCGAAATCTTCAGAAACCTTGAAGAGAGCTCCTGTTGCCACCTGGAACACAAATGTGCCCACACCATGAGAAGTCCACTTATTTTAAACGTCAAAGATGTAAATTATCTTCAGCATTGATCAATTACAATGCAGAAAACCTATAATATAAGCCTTTCCTATATAAAGAATTCCTTTGCCATTGAGGTTGGAGAGGAGATTCTATTAATGGTGTATATTAGTCTGGGGGATTTTTTTACTGTCAATATTGTAATTTTGTAATATGGTCGATATTTAATTATTTAATGTGGCTGATTTGTGTATATTAAAGTTTATTCCAAGGTGCTCCACATTTCCATGTTCTCTGTTGCAGGGAGTATAGCATTATTTCAAAATAAGGTTTCTTTATTAGAAGGGTGAAGGTGGTTCTGTATGTAATAACTTCTCTCACAAGGCCAAAACATTCAGGGGGGCGGGAACCCACACAGAATTCCAAAGTGAATTGATCGAACTCTCTAGTTATGTGTCAACTGCAAATGGAAACGCTGTTATTAAGAAACCTGATTAGAATAGTGTGCGAGGTCATGAAAGAGAACATTTTCTTGTGATGGTAAATGAAGCCATCAGAAAAGACAGTGGGCTGGATCCCATGGAACCATTCCACTAGCAAAGGTGCTTTCCTCCAGAGGAAGGCGTCTTCCCCTAAACACATCCCTTCAGGAGAAGGCTCCTTCCACTGCAGAGAAGCACCTCTGTTGGAGGAACAGATCCACGGGATCCAATCCACTTTTTTTCTTGTGGTTCATCTAGTACCAGTAAATTGAAATGTTTCCTTTTCAAACAGTCCAGTGGCAGGTGGCTGGGGTTTAGGATTAGCTTGCAACATTCCTCTGGTCTCCCAAATATCCTGCCAGTGGAAACTCTTTAATTGCAGTGAACTTTGCACAAGCGTAGCACTCGTCCACGGATCAAGCTTTAGTCCTCTGCGTGCATCCCTAACATTATCCACTATATATCCTAGTACAGAAGAACCACAGAGCAAGAAAATAAAACCTGGATTTTATTGTGGTTTTTTAAAAAATTTAAAGAACCTTTCCTAGTCATTGCAGATAAATGGAAAAGATTCCACTGACTTCCCTGGCAATAGCAGTAATTTCTGAAAGCCCAGTGTTTGCATGATCATGTTGCTGCATAGACGATCCCAAAAGTTCATTATTTTATTACCATGCTGAGCACTGACACACATAACTTTTTAGTATTCTGATAACAGGGTGCTGTAAGAGCCAGTCACTTACAGAGGTAGATGGCCACGGCTGCCATTCACAGCACAATTACTACGGAGTAAGTCCCACTGAACTTGGTGGGAATTATGTATGCTTGGGATGGCACCGCATGTAAAGGGGACCAGGCTCTTCTCTAACTGAAGAACCACTAGCTGCCCCCAGGAATGCGGCTGGTGGGAATAGGGCAGCCCCAGGTTGTGCCCACTGTGCTCTCTGGGGCTTTGTACCTTGTACAGGTTTGCATGGTAGGACCTGACCACAAGAACCAGCCCCAAACGTTATTTCCTTTACTGTAGACAAGGGCAAAATCTATAGTATCTTTTTCACACATGACTCAAGACTGCATATTTTTTTCTTGAGTTTGCTAGTTATTCTTGCTTAGATGTGCTGATTTTCGTTGGTTGACCTATTTTTTCTGTAACCATATGATTACCATAAAACATATATTGTAAGATTGTGCATTCAGTTGAGGATTTGAATGTTGCACTAGGGGGGGGAGTTTGTTTATGTAAATAGCTGCTGTTTTGTGTTTACTATACCTGGCTACCATCTCATAACTGTTGTATTTTGACCTAATGGGCAATGTTAAGACAATATGTGATTATGTATTTGTGTAAATGTCTGTATGTAACTACTAATTCTAAATTGTAAGTAAGGAACATGCTTGTTTCATTTATTCGGAATAGTAACTTTCCCATCTAAAAATATTTTCAGTTACATGAGAAAAGAAGTTTATTTTTTTTAAAGATTGTCATACAAGGCCTGGTTTCTCTAGCTGCTTTTTAAAAATACATGTGGGCAGGATTTTATCTAGTTTTCACTTGATAGACCAAAGTTACCATTGACACTGTCTTGCAATGCTGATCAAATTTATCTCCTTTGCACTTTAAAACAAATAATAAAATAAGGAAAATCATGGTGTTGATTGTATATACATTCACTGTACAGTAGAATGTATATCACTAGTCAATCTGTTTATAAAGAGAGTATTTTCCTTTTGGGGGGGGTACTCAACCAATGTATTTGCTAGTCAATATAAAGTGTTTACATGTAATTACTTAATAAATTATTTGATTTAAGATGGATCTTTTAGTGATGATTTTTAAGAACATTTAGAAGCATCTTTCAGTTCATGCAGTTTAAAGTCTTAAATTTGCTCAACATCAAGTTATGGGATAGACACAAATTTATGTTTCTGCAAGATTTCTGACAGTATTACAGGGTAATATTTTCCATCATTAACAGATGACGTGCTCACTCCGAATAAGGAAAGATTACGAACCAGGCTAGCATGTTGATAAAACAGAGCAGCCGAGCAGTCTTTGCACACATGCAAACACTTCACACTGAAGCTGTCATCTGATCAAAGTGTTTTTCTGCCATCAGCTGGGAAGAGCTGCCGGCTCAGTGGTTGAAAGGTCCCAGGTTCAATCCCTGGCCATCTCCAGCTTTAAAAAACAACAACAAAAGGATTGGGTAGTAGGTGATATGAAAGACTTTGTGAGGACAGAACGGTGGGATATAAATTTTGTAAAATAGGAATAATAATAATACATGAGACCCTGGAGAGTCACTGCTATATCTGAATAGACAGTATTGACCTGGATGAACCAGTGGTCTGATTCAGTATAAGGCAGGTTCCTGTGTCCGTCCTTCACAGTAAATGCTGCAGCTTTACAATAGATGTCTTCGAAGGGATGTGTTTCTTAAAATTTGGGGAGAGGGACAGGCATATGATTGGCACCCTGCCTCTAAACAAATATACTCAGACATGAGAACTCAAAAAGTTTTGTGGATTTTTTTTCTATTCATGTGAAACTAACATAGCCTGATGATTCATGGCCCCGGTCACATGGCAAAGTTGCCGCGGGAGAGGCACGGATGGTGGGCAGATTATCCGGGCGCAATCACACCCCAACATCTGGGAAGTGGAGCACACCCGTGGCTTACCGCCAACAATGCGAGTTAAAAAAACTAGTACCTCCAAGGTACTAGTAAACGTTTGCCACAGGCTGCCTCCAGACTCCCGTGGTGTGATCGCGCCGGCGCACGGCATTCCCCTCCGGTCCCTCGTTTACCCGCCAGCGCCAAGGGAAGGACCCATGGTGTGCCACAGGCGCGTCTGAACGCGTAATCACAGATCAAACTGCCCCGGGGCAATTAGCCCCGCCTCTCCCCCCCCCCCGCGATATCCGGCCCGTGTGACCGGGACCCATATATGCCCTGCGGCATTCTTTGGAGAGCAGTGTCAATCTGAAGCATTTGTTTGGTGGATGCATACAGTTTATTGCAACCCCATAGGGTTTTCAAGGCAAGAGGTCAACAGAGGTGGTTTGCCATTTTCTGCCTTGTCATAGCAACCCCGGACTTCCCTTGGTGGTCTCCAATCTAAGTACTAACCTTGCTTAGCTTTCAAGATCTGATGAGCCTGGATCTAGGTGACTGAATTATATGATTTTAAAAATTGCATTCATTTTGTATCTCAATACCATTCGCAAGAGATGCATTCCAGACTAGAAGGAGGTATTGCTGGGGTTTGGTTTCTTTGTTTTGTTTTGTTTTGCTATCACTTGTGAAAACAACCCCACATTTTGAGTTTTTCCTTTTTTACCTGCTGGATACCTGGGCATACAGCTATTTTTAAATCAATGCGTTTTTATTGCCTCTGTGTTGAATGTGCATTTGGCTACTTGTGGAATAATCAGTATTAAAATAATGCTAAATTCAAATGCTCTATATTTTCTGCTGCATATTGACCTCTCTTCAAATCCACTTGATATGTCCTCTCTTGGCTTTTGGTCTGATGCACTTGATACCAAAACAAAAGCAGTAGTAACTTAAACACGTGGAGACATTTTGTGCTTTCTGTTTAGGCATACACCAAGGGACAAAATGGATCCATAGCATGGTTCAAGATGCTACTGATTATTATATGCAGCTAGTCAATCTCAAAATAACTCCAGCATTTTGAAGATACTTGCTTTGCTTCAAGTTTGCCCAATTGTCTTTGAGATCATAAGAACATAAGAGAAGCCAATGTTGGATCAGGCCAATGGCCCATCCAGTCCAACACTCTCTCACACAGTGACCAAAAATACCAGATGTCATCAGGAGGTCCAGCAGTGGGGCCAGGCCCCTAGGAGCCCTCCCACTGTTGCCCCCCCCCCCAAGCACCAAGAATACAGTGCATCACTTGCCCCAGACTGAGAGTTCCTATCTATACCTTGTGGCTAATAGCCACTGATGGACTTCTAATCGGACACATACAAGCAGTTTTTCTTTAAAAATCCCTTGTTATAGGCAGATTAAAAGAGAGATGGCAAAAGACTACATTGCCTGTCAGCTAGAACCAAAAAGACTATTGATTTGCCTTATAGGTCATGGATATAATAACCAAATTATCAACCGCAGCCCTTTTTCTGGTTATTCCTTTCCCCTTTCAATTCTACAAAATATAACAAATCACTGCATACATACATTAATTACAGCCTGATTAAGATAAATTACAAAGACTGCTTAAATCAGGAAATACAAGAAGGGCAGCATACATAATACAAATGAACCTTTTTAGACTGTTCATAGAAAGATTCTGTTGTGTCACGGCTGAGCTATGGGTCACAAAGCCCCTGGTTCAGATCAGCCAAAAGGGTGGCAGATTGATTCAGAGGGGAGCCATACTGGTCTGCAATGGAAAGGCTAGATTTGAGTCCTGTAGCACCATAGAGACCAACAAGTTTTTGGGGGTATAAACTTTCAAGAGTCAAAGCTCCCTTCCTATAGCAAAGGGAGCTTCATCTCTCGAAAGCTTCTACCGTGAAAATCTCGTTGGTCTCTAAAGCCCTTCTGAACTCAACTGTAAAAGTGCCAGAGGC